GGCTGCATGCTCATAGCACCTTGAAAGCATTATGTATGCCTGATGTACAGTAGCCAAAGTATTTTATTCAGTTTGATTACATACAATAGGTCCTGTAAATTTTCTTCCTGTTTAGTTCAAGCCCCGTAGCTCTTATCGTTAGAATTGACCGGTATTTTCGAAGCTTGCGTGGATTATACACGTAAAATATACAACATCTCCTTGGACCTCTATGCTACAGTTTTTTCCTGCTCTTATTGGCCATGCTGATAAGCTGTATAAGTTCAGATGCTCAGTCCTAGCTTAACAGATCATTGCGTCGCTGCTCAATAAAAGATACGTTGTATTATCCAGTCCTAGAACAATAAAATAATGTTTGTATAACCGATATATATCAGTCTTTTAGAAAACGTAATCTCAAGATTAAGACAGCTATTAATATTACTGAGAAATATGGTTTTAACAAGAGTCTTGGGATTACCAATCCAGATGTCTACACCCGAGGGTAATAATCGTGCCGCCGAACCTGAGACATCGACTGGCTCTATTAGACTGTCAGATTTTGTTAAGTATAGTAATCTGTTCACGATAGACTGTCTCTTTGTTGGCTTAGAGTCTGCTTGGGGTGGTATCGATACTATCAAGTTTACTGAATATATATCTGTCTCTTTTGTGACTAGACTTAATAGAAGTCAATTTAATATATAAATAGAATACTTCAGAGAAACCTTATACAGATACTTAATCAATCTTAAGAAAGTATTTGTAGCACAGTAATTATTATTCCTTTTCTATACAGAGTAGAAAGGTATTTTACTGAAAGAGATCCAGAGTTTATAATCAATATTTTAACTTGGAGAAGTTGAAGTGGCTACAATCTATTACCAGATACTATATTTAACTCTATTCCAGTGAGAATATCTGACTGACTACAAATCAGATATTACAAGGACTCAGATATATCTATAATACTCTTAGTATCAGTTATAGTACTCTCCGAGAAAAGAATATCTATATCCATAAAAATAGAGATGTTAAGATTGGTATATCCTATTATTCTATAATATCTTTGTTTTAACTAACAGATCTTAGTAAGAATCGGTGAAAGTATAGATCAGGAGTTAAATATCGAAAAAAAATCAAGAGATATTAAAGTAACTCTATAAATTATATAAAATTTTCTAAATCTATAATCAAATACTGAGAGTCGCGGAACTATGGGACTATTAGTCTATAATTTTACTGGTACACTAAAAGATACAATAATTGATCAACTACTTGAGATAAGCCCTTCCTAAAATAAAACAAGATCTATTCAGATTATTCTAGAATATCACAGCTGACAAGATATTTTTAAGTATCCACTTATGAGATTCAACACTGGCTTATAGTGTCTTCGACCAGTCAATCTTTTATATACTATGGCTAGAAGGTAACATTATTTAGGAAACAGCAAAGATGGTGAGGACTAGGCCGGACAAAGTTATATCTATATGTATCTCTTATTATATGTCTTCAACACCTAGTCAATACAGTATACCGAGATATACTGTTGTAATAAAGAATGGACTTTTTTTTGTCTTTCTTAACAGTAATATAGCCTTGAGTTACACGATGTATCTAATGATATTAATGTTATATTTCCAAAGCACTGCTGGACAGTTATTTTAACGGGGCCTGTAGTACCTTCTATATGGTATGTCTCAGGCTTCTGACCATATCACACACCTATAGCCATGCCTGCTGGCTAACTACTTCATTTGAGGATATCAATAATTAGGGATCAATTCTTTGGCACAGACTCTATTTTCAGCCGGCCGTGTTTGCCTAATTAATCTCTGAGCTAGTTACTCTATAAGTCTACTGTCTTGTAAAATATCTCAGAGATACCCGACGGAATTAAAGTACAATACTGGTAAAGCAAATAATACACGTCTATTACTGTGCGATAGAATAATATCGCGGAGATTAGCAGTACTATTGATTGAAACACTATTTATATATCTTTCTATATCAACCCAAGTCCTACTCCAGGGTTAAGGACCATCCTCTTATATCTATTTCACTGTTTCTTAATGCTAAAGATATACGAATATCTCTATTATAAGCCCTAGTGGAAATATAACTCCAGCTGGGGAGTTGTATGATAGAGAGAATTCCGTATCCCCTGATATTGGCAAGAAATTAACAGTTAACCGCAAAGTAACAACCCTGATTGTGGACACTGAATATAAGTATATACTACGCGAACTCGCGGATATTTATTGAGATTATAATTTGTTTTCTAGTTTTGCGACTTGGATCCTGTTGGCTGGATACCTTGTTATTCCTGGGATATTTACGACTCTCCAAAAAACCGATACTATAAAATATAGATTGTCTGAAAATAATTCTTAGATTATTTTAAGTACTATCCAGAATCCCCCGCTTGTGATTATAGTATACTCTCTACTTGCTATCGGTACAGTAATTATAGTATTTCTCTATTTCTGTTGGAAGTATAATTACCTTTGGCTTATAAATTGTTTATATATATAAGCTCCTACTGGTATATTATCTAGTCTGACACTGAAAGATTATAGACCTACTTCCCTTAATACGGGTGCTGGCCTTCTTACAACAATTATCAATATCTATACAGTAAAGGGTGCCAAGTAGTCAATTATGTCTCTCTTGACTGTAATTATAACTGCGTTGTCAGCCATAATTTTATTGGTATTGGCTCTGTATTATAAGTTCTGGAGGATGGAAAAGATTAAGGAAAAGTATAAGCGGGAACAGAGAGCCGGTTTATGCTTAGTATATCCGTGAGCCATTGTGAATCTTGTCAAACATGACGCTTACCGTCGCCATCTCCAGCGGCGAGGGACATATCTACGCGACAGTTGAATGACCGGGTGCGAAAGAAGTCATGGTATCGTATCAAGAAGCATACATACGCAGGGGAATTATGTTCCGGTATCATTTCCCAAGCAGGAATAGCTTTGTTTTACACGAGGAGTTGTTGAAACAATCAAACAGTGTAGGTGGTGACACAAGTATCCATACAGACTGTATGCACGTCGAATACCATCGTAAAATACGTTTATGATAGACCAGGCCTATCACAAAGCAGCCTTTTGAAGTGGCGCCGAGGAGGACTCACCGAATATAAACAATCTAAATCCGAGCCAGCAACGGTCTGTATGTATTATACTCAACCGTATTATGTATATAATACATAATACGATTAGCTTTATATTCTTCATCACTTGTATTCGACGCACATGGCCGTAATTAGCAAGGCTATTATGTTCTGTATTTATGGGCCTATTATAGTAAGGGCATAGCCATCATTCGTATCCCAGCACTTATCTTACACCTCATAATTCCGGTCCTAACCGGAGGACCTTTCAGCTACTGTCCGAAACGTGCAAATTGGTCTACCACTTTCAAAAAAAAAAAAAGAAAAAGAAAAAAAAAACCGCTAGTCAATAATACAAGGCGTCTACGGGTATGCCTATGAGTATAAAACGGGTTAAACATTCTCTTCTGCCTCAAATATAGCTAACTTCAATATACCTTACGCTATAAATATGATCTGTCAAACAGTACTTAGACTACGACGCTCAAGCAGCCCACGGGCAAAGAGCCAGCAAAAATATAGACTTCGCCGGAGTCTATTTAAAAGTGCGTATAAGTTTGGGATTGAATGTGATACTGATGTTTGTGTTATCCTTCGTACCCGAAAAGATGGTCGAATCTTTACTTTCAATACTGACTCCTTTGAAAAATTCCTGCCTTTATTAACAGAATTGGTACGACTCTCCGAAAGTCAGAAGTAGCAGGCGAGCTTACAATACTAGGATCACTATTATCCACCCCCAATGAAAACTATGCCAAAGGACTTTTGCCACTCAGCCCAAGGGTTCACACCATCTAGTCAGGATCAAGAGGCATCAGAGTCACAGCCAGCTGTTTTGAGACTGCCAAATAGTAAAGGCTAGAGCGGAGTCGCCATAATTTCTTGTACTGGTGGACAATGGACGGAACAAACATGGAGCTTATCTATTAAAATAAGGTCGTTTAATCGAAAGAAAACAATACCGGTCTGGATACTGTACTGGTTTACTGTACCCGCTGTCGGTATCCGAGTGGTACTTAAACTCTTATGTCTGCTGCTTCTTTACACAATAAATGTAGCTGTGATATTTGAAACCAATATTCTATTTGATAATTTATTTCCTGATGCGAAGGAGCACGAGGTTCATGAAATGCACAACGATGCATACCATACTCTTATATTCCGCGGAGAAACACCGCATTCCACAAGAGAATGTGTCTCTTGGAAACCAACGACTGTTAGCCTCCCGCCTTCGATGCTTGCAATTGGACTTGTCAAGATACGGCGTTATGCACTGCTAGAGGATTTGAATAATTTTCTATCCCCGTCAACAGCAAAATGATATGCAGAACATGTTATTCTTCATCGTCGTGGTTATCTCTTCTGGGGAGCCGCAGGGTCAGGCAAGATGGACTTACTCTGGAAATTACCGCCTTTGAGGTTCGACGGGATCAACCGCCGTTATACAACGCCTCCCGCTTTTAATGTCGATCTAAATCTCGATGACTAATTTCGACACAACAAATCCCTGTGTCAATATGTCGGAGGCATCTATTCTAATCAGTGTCTAGTAGCTACACCCTCACGAAACATCTCAAACCTTGAGTATACCCAAGAACTTAAGATATTTTGATTCTAACCAGCAACTAGTTTACTTGCGTTGCTACTTGATCAATGTCAATACGCACCACTTGCTCTCTTTTGCTTTTATATGTTCTGAAGACTATGCATGATTGGCCCTTTAACCGCGACAGCTTCGCAGTTACACGTGTCAGATGACCCCTCCAACTCCAACCTCACATTTGGATCTTGGAATGATTAGTTCTACAGTTCTAATGCCGGCTGTATCTTCCGATCAAAGCCCATCTGGTTGTCTTTCGGGAAAAGTCTCACCACTTTATTGTGTATCTTACATATAATGGCCTTCACGCACAATGACTATACGGTCGCATGGATCTGCGCTTTACCATTGGAACTAGCAGCAGCAAAGGCAATGCTGGATGACGTTCACCATCCGCCTCCCCGGCCACAATTCGACCACAATGTTTACACACTTGGGAGGGTTGGCAGTCACAACGTGGTGGTGGCCTGTCTTCCTTACGGTGTCTATGGGACGATATCCACTACCAGTGTAGTGTCACATATGGTCTCTACGTTTCCGAATATCCGGTTCGGATTCGGATTGATGGTGGGTATTGGGGGCGGAGTCCCGAGCCAGAGTGCTGATATTCGCCTTGGCGATGTTGTGGTCAGCAAGCCAACATCCACTTCAAGCGGCGTTATACAATTCGACTACGGCAAGACACTACGCGGCGGACACTTCCAGCGCACCGGTTCGCTTAATAAACCTCCTCTGGTGTTGTTGAAGGCCGTGTCTCAATTAGAGAGTGATTATATGACCGGGAAAAGGCTGACCGGCGATATTCTGAATGATACACTCCAAAACAGTGAAAGCTTAAGGCAACAGTTTTCGCGGCCGCAAGTCGACTGGCTATTCTCTCCAACATACGATCATGATGATAGCAAATGCAACTGTTTGGCATGCGATCAAACCCAGCTAATAAACCGTCCTGAGCGAAGAACTGATGACCCTTGTGTTCATTATGGCTTGATCGCTTCTGGAGATCAGGTCATGAAAGATGCCAAGACTCGAGATTTCATTGCTCGGGACCTAGACATACTCTGTTTCGAGATGGAAGCTGCTGGGCTTATGGACGAACTTCCATCACTAGTCATTCGAGGTATCTGTGACTACTGTGATTCGCATAAGAATAAACAGTGGCAAGGGTATGCTGCGCTCACTGCCGCTGCCTATGCCAAAGCTCTCTTGTCAATTGTACCGGGCACTCTTTCCATGGAAAGAGACTTGTGTAAAAGTGAAAAAGGTGAGGAAAGGCGGGCGAATCTAGCCAAATAATATCACTAGTATCATTGGCTGATTCTACACAGAATGCCTTAGGTCACTTAGTTTCCGCGAACAAGAGTATAGGTACAACGACATTCATGCGGCAGTGGACACTTGCATGTGGCTCTTTAAAAACCCACAATACAAAGCATGGTTGAACAGCCGACAAGGGCTTCTGTGGATCAAAGGGAATCCTGGGACTGGTAAATCCGTTCTTATGAAGTTCGCTGTCCAGTCAATGGCCAATAGAAACGCTGGGCAGCTTGTGTCCTTTTTCATCCACGGCCGAGGGACAAATCTGCAGAGAACGCCGCTAGGGCTCTTCAGAGCACTATTGAATACTATGCTAGGTTCGTTTCCGGATTACCTTTCTCAACTCACAAAGTCGTTCGTAGATCGGGAGAAGCGGTATGGTTCCTACGAACAAGGTAGATGGACCTGGCCGGAAGAAGAGCTTCGCAAGTTTGTGTCGCAGGTCCTAACGGAGGGGACAAAGAGCAGTCCAGTAATTATCTTTATTGACGCACTTGATGAATGTGGGAAGGACCATGCCAGAGCCTTACTGACATACTTCAAAGACCTTATGGAGGCAGTCAAGCGCAATGGTGGACAGGTGAAAATATGCCTTTCTTCCAGACATTATCCAATCCTTGGTCATTACATGATCCCCTCCATCTACATGGAACAGCAAAATACCAACGATATCCAACACATTGTTGGTGGTATGCTGAAAGGATTTGAAACAGAGGAAGATCGTAAGTATTTTGAAAGTCAAGTTTTGTCCAAAGCTCGGGGAGGATTTCAATGGGCAGTTCTTGTCTGTGACAGGGTGATTGAAGATAGCATGATTGGCACCAAGAAAGAAGACCTGCGCAGCAGGTTGGCTACTATCCCAGAAGCGCTTGACGGGCTGTACTCTAATATTTTACATGATGTGCATGAAAGCGAGAGGCAGCAGATGGTCAAGCTGTTCCAATGGATTCTATTTGCCCAGAGACCCCTGTCTGCTCACGAGCTTCGGGATGCACTTTCTATTGACAAGGACATGGGATCTGGAGCGCAGCCAAGAAGTCACAGCAGCTGGTCTGATACCGTGGCTAAATTTGAGATTCACGTGAGACATCTCTCGAAAGGATTAGTGGAATTTCAATCTCGTGAATTATGGGAACAATATGAACCCGAGGAGGAAGATTCAGATCGGGAAGCTCAGTTTATACACCAGTCAGTGGCTGACTTTCTGCTCAATAATTTTTTCAGTGGTATTTCGCGTGACCCGCATCTTTCTCAATCGGTGGTTGGAGCTGGTCATTTTCAAATATCAAGAGCTTGTCTCAGATACATGACATTAGATGAAGTCTTGCGAGGTGCTGAACGACTGCCACGTAGCAAGCTCTTCCAAACATTCCAGTTGATACCATACGCTGTGCGTTTCCTATTTCAGCACATCAAAGAGGTAGAACAACACAATATCCTTCAGTCCGATCTCCTTTCCCTCGTTTGCTGGGGCCAGAAGTCAAAGTTACAGGAAATAGCTAGATTATGGAGAGTCTCTGACCCTTATAATTTATACACGCCCCGGGGTTGGCCATTCATCGAGGCTACGGCATTTCATGTATTGATTACACTTGCGTCGAAAAGCGCTTTTTACGATCTCTTGCAAAAGGATGAGGTGGAGGTTGATGGTACAGATATTGATGGGAACACACCCCTGCTTCTCACAATAAAGGAAGGTCATCAGGATATGGCAGTGACACTTCTAAATCGTTCTTTAGAATGGCAGCTACAACTTAAGGAGGTAGCTGGGAGCATCATCACTTGGGAAACAAGCGAGAAACTAGAAAGGCACTATTTCGTCAACGTTAATGCTCAGGACAATGAGAACAATACACCATTGAGTGTTGCCATGGACGAAGGCGCCCTAGATGTGATCCTCAAGTTAATTGAGGGAGGGGCGAATGCTAACACTCAGGATAGTGCTGGTCGGACACCACTGACGTGGGCAGCAGGGGGAGGGCATATAGCAATAGTCACACTGCTACTTCAACAGGGTGCAGATCCTAATACCCAGGATGATGCTGGTCAGACACCACTCTCCAGAGTATTAGAAGAAGGGAATAAAGCAGTAATCAAGCTGCTACTTGAATAGAGTATAGATCCTAATATTCAGAATAGTAATAGTCAGATATTACTTTTCAGAGTATTAAAAGAAGGCTATAAAGCAGTAATTAAGCTGCTACTTGAACAGAGTATAGATTCTAATATTAAGAATAATACTAGTCAGACACTACTCTCCAGAGTATTAAAAGAAGATTATAAAGTAGTAGTCAAGCTGCTATTTAAACAGGGTATAGATTCTAATACCCAGAATAGTACTGGTCAGATACTACTTTCCAGAGTATTAAAAGAAAGCTATAAAGCAGTAATTAAGCTGCTATTTAAATAGAATATAGATTCTAATATCTAAGATAGTACTGATTAGATACTACTCTTTAGAGTATTAGATAGAGAATATAAAATAGTAGTTAAACTATTATTTAAATAGAGAGCTGATTCTAATATCTAGAATAATACTGGTCGGATACTACTCTTTAAAATATTAGATAGAGAATATAAAATAGTAATCAGACTACTACTTAATTAGAGAGTTAATTTAAATATCTAAAATAGTACTAATTAGATATTATTTTTAAGAGTATTAAAAAGAGAATATAAAACAGTAATTAAGCTACTACTTAAACAGAGTATAGATTCTAATATTTAGAACAGTAATAGTTAGATACTACTTTTCAGAGTATTAGAAGAAAGCTATAAAGTAGTAATTAGACTATTATTTAAATAGAGTACAGATTCTAATATACAGAATAATATAGATTGGATATTACTTTTTAGAGTATTATTCAGAGAGTATAAAGCAGTAGTTCAGCTGCTACTTAAATAGAATATAGATTTAAATACTTAGAATAATACTGGTTAGACACTACTCTTAAGAGTATTAGAAAGAGAGTATAAAGTAGTAGCCAAGCTGCTATTTAAATAGAGTATAGATCCTAATATCTAGAATAATACTGATCAGATATTACTCTCTAGAGTATTAGAAGAAAGATATAAAGTAGTAATCAAGCTGTTATTTAAATAGGGTATAGATCTTAATACCCAGAATAATACTAGTCAGACACTACTCTTCAGAGTATTAGATAGAGAATATAAAATAGTAATTAGACTGCTACTTAAATAGAGTATAGATTCTAATACCCAGAATAATACTGATCAGACACTACTCTTTAGAGTATTAAATAGAGAATATAAAATAGTAGTTAGATTATTACTTGACTAGGAAACTGATTCAAATACTCAGAATAGTACTGGTCAGATACTACTCTTAAGAATATTAGAGAGAGAGTATAAAACAGTAGTTAAACTTCTATTTAAACAGAGTACAGATTCTAATATTTAGGATAGTAATAGTTAAATACTACTTTTTAAAGTATTAGAAGAAGACTATAAAGTAGTAGTCAGACTATTATTTAAATAGAGTACAGATTCTAATATTCAGAATAATACTGGCTAAATACTACTCTCCAGAGTATTAAAAAAAAAATATAAAGTAGTAGTTAAGCTGCTACTTGAACAGAGTATAGATCCTAATATCTAGAATAATACTGGCCAGACACCACTCTTCAGAGTATTAAATAGAGAATATAAAGTAATAATTAAGCTGCTACTTAAATAGGGTATAGATTCTAATATCTAAAATAATACTGGTTAGATATTACTCTTTAGAGTATTATCCGGAGAGTATAAAGCAGTAGTCTAGCTACTACTTGAACAGAATATAGATTTAAATACTTAGAATAATACTAGTTAAATACTACTCTTAAGAGTATTAGAGAGAGAATATAAAGTAGTAGTTAAACTATTATTTAAATAAGATATAAATTCTAATATCTAGAATAATACTAATTAGATACTACTCTTCAGAGTATTAGATAGAGAATATAAAGTAGTAATTAGACTATTACTTAAATAGAGAGCTGATTCTAATATTAAGAATAATATTAGTTAGATACTACTCTTCAGAGTATTAAATAGAAAATATAAAATAGTAGTTAGACTATTACTTAATCAGAGAGCTGATTCAAATATCTAAAATAGTATTGATTAGATATTACTCTCTAGAGTATTAGAAAAAAAGTATAAAATAGTAATTAAATTATTACTTAAACAGGATACAGATTCTAATACCCAGTATAATACCAGTCAGATACTACTCTTGAGAGTATTAGAAAAAGAATATAAAGTAGTAATTAAACTGTTACTTGAATAGAATATTGATTTTAATATTTAGAATAATACTACTTATATACTACTTATCTGAATATTAGAAAAAGACTATAAAAGAGTAACTAGATTACTATTTAAACAGAGAGCTGATCCAAATATATAGAATAATACAGATCAGATACTACTCTTCAGAGTATTATCCAGAGAGTATAAAGTAATAGTTCAGCTGCTACTTAAATAGAGTATAGATTTAAATACTCAGAATAATACTGGTCAGATACTATTCTTAAAAGTATTAGAGAGAGAGTATAAAGTAATAGCCAAGCTGCTACTTAAATAAGATATAAACTCTAATACTCAGAATAATACTGGTTAGATACTACTCTTTAGAGTATTAGATAGAGAATATAAAATAGTAGTTAGACTATTACTTAAATAGAGAGCTGATTCTAATATCTAGAATAATACTGGTCGAATATTACTTTTTAAAGTATTAGATAGAGAATATAAAACAGTAGTTAGACTACTATTTAATTAGAGAGCTGATCCAAATATCTAAAATAGTACTGGTCAGACACTACTTTTAAAAGTATTAAGGAGAGAGTATAAAGCAGTAATCAAGCTGCTACTTAAATAGAGTATAGATTCTAATATTCAGGACAGTAATAGTCAGATATCACTCTTCAGAGTATTAGAAAAAGGCTATAAAGTAGTAGTCTAGCTGCTACTTGAACAGGGTGCAGGTCCTAATATTTAGGATGATACTGGTCAGATACTACTCTTGAGAGCATCAGAAAAAGGGCATGAAGCAGTAGTCAAGCTGCTACTTGACCAGGGTGCAGTTCCTAACACTCCGGTAGCCCAGGTCAGATATCAATCTCAGGCCGTAAGAGAAAGCGTCCGGCTTACCATGAATAATTGCCGAATTTTGTAGCCTTTGTCAGGTTCCCGCCGCGAGGTGCTATTTCCCGGGCGAAGATACAGCACCTTATGATATCAGAGGATCGTCTGGTTCAAAGTCTTATTACAGTCAACTGCCATGCTCAAATATCGCAACAGTAGTGGGTGACAGCATGGTTTTACTCGCCTCTATTCGGTTGAGCAGAGGGAGCTGTGCCTTTTAGTTGTCATTGAAAGGCGGGATTGGTAGCCTTTTACGAACAAGATCTAATCCTGCTACCTGTAATGTTACAATTGTACAAATACAGTTATACGCAATATAAACAGTCACAACCGTTACCACCATGCAGCTGCCTAAAATTACTGTATATCCTCTTCCCAAACTTATATTTAATCTATATAGAAGCCCAATTCATCCAGTTACTAAAGTTCCTAGCGACTATATTGAACTATCTTCCATTTCCCATCTATCCCTTAAACTTCACAAGTTATTACGCCGTGATGTTGAGGATACTCTCTCGTATCGCGCGAAGTCTAGGACTAGTTGTTGTGGATATTACCATCGTCAAATATCGCCGCGGTAAACTATGGACACTTCGATCGATTTTTCCTCTAGATCAAGATACGGTACGCTTGCTAATAGTTCCGAAATATTTATTAGAACCCAGCTTACTTTTTAGGTTGAAATCGATGCGCTCTTGAATGCCGACGGTCAAAGTATACCCTTTGAGAATGCCAACTCATCTCGAGGATCAATTGAGAAGAGTGAGCCTTGCCAAGCGAAGAGTATGTATCCACGAGATGTTTTAGGCTGCTTCGGAGCACTTTAGCATTCTAGGAATCTATAAGGAATACAGAGCTTTAGAACTAAGAAGATAGACTAAATTCTCACTGTACTTATAACATACATACAGTAATAGAGGAGCAAATAAGTCACTCATAGGAGCCGTGAAGCTTAGAACACAAGAATAAACACTTCCGTAATTTATATTCCCATATGAATACAATTATTTGTGACTATTGTGGAGAAAAACCTTCGCATAATCTCAAGCAACTTGTATATCGTTATCTGGGTAGGCTAATATGGTAGGCGTCACTGGCCACATGGACTGGGCAATTCTGCTGCCTTCCTGCAAGTAACCAAAAGAGGAAACGGGTAGTTTACTAGTCAGATTATGTATGGATGACTTCTAAGAGTTAAGTGCGGGGTATGAATGAAGGTCGAGTGACGACTGCGGTACACTAGCTTTTTAGCTCTCTACCATTATATATTTGAGATTGACCGCCCACTGACATGGAAATTGGCGATAACCAAAACCTTATTCAATGGATGTGGACAATTTGACCGAGACGATGAATGCCGCCCATTTGCATGATGTACATGATGGGCGAGGAGTCTTACCCTTCTGTCCCCCAACGAACGCCTCGAGAATGCTGAAGGCGCTGAACAACATTCCAACCTTTTTATTCCGCGTTGCATCTCCATACTTTGACGGAGAGACAAACGAAACGTGGGTGCGCTCAGAATCATCAAAGAGAGGGAATACTTCATCTCTCGAAGATATTTTCCATGGCTTGAATGACACGAAGAGAAGAATTGTAGCGCAAACGCTCAATAAGCACCTTAGATGGTGGCCAAAGGAAGATCTGGAAGATAATTTCATATCATGGACAAGTTCACTTCTCTTTGCGCTTCAGTACATTAACTATCTTCATCTGAGCAGCAACTACACACCAAACCTAGAAGAGACCAACCTGTACGTTGTAGATACAACGCTGTTCCCTGGCGGCACGTTTGCTCGAGATTTAGACCTTATCCAAGAATTCGAATTATTTGATAACCATCCGCCCGTTACTGACCTGAGGCGTCTATCGGAGCTCCGAACGCACCCTAGCTACTATTTTGGAGAATATTTGTCGCAGGGTCGTATGGAAATGGCTGACAGATGTCAAGTGATCTCTGCGACGTTACTCATGAATGATGGTAGAGTGAGCCAGATACAACCTCAATTTAAGGATATAGCGACTCTGCGGCGGATGAACGAAAAACCAGGATGGCCAACGGAGGTACAACGTCTTCGCCGAGTTGTCTGGTCAAGTTGCAAACTACCGCGATTAACAGCCCAGGAATCAATCAGTCGCATCAGTGCGGTTAAAGAAATAATAAAGGACCTCGGTTCCGAATGGAAATTACCCCTAGCTATGTATTTTATGGCGTTGATTGGGCCAGACCTTGAGATAGAAGATCAAGAAACGACTGCCGATAATAGCTTCTTTGAATATCTAGATCGTGCAACGCCTCCGGTTAGTGGCCATTTGTGGTTTTGACAACCGTCTTCATTCTTCACCTGCATAACTGACAGTCTGAGAATTTAGAGGAAAAGCGAAAAGATCTGTCGATGTTCAAACTCAGCGCACCAGGAACTATGCCTGAACTGAAGAGGGTCGAGGTCTTGATTCACCAAGTTCAGAAGTATATTCGGCTTAAAAAGGAACTAGGTATGCATTTTGCCTCATGTAGATAGCTTGTACATTACTGACACAGTTAGATAGATTCTATAGAAGGAGTAGAGGTAATTCTTCGAAATTTACTTATCAGATCTGAATTAATGTTAATCAAACTCTAACGGAGTCTGGTAATAGACTGTTGTCGAAACTTGGGACAATACAGGAGGCAGTGTGCTTGGAATATAGTCCCTCTTATTGGGCCAAGACACATCTGGGCAACTGCCAATGACGAATTGTTTCAAACATCCTGGTTATTCGGCTTAGTTTGCTTAAATATCTGACTAATACCCTACTACGGAAACACCTGATTCATGGCTAATGAAGCAATCAATCTGCCAATCGGTACAAACAATTTCCTGTCATCACGTGGACACGCCCACATCATGAAAGTCAAGCATTTGCTTTGTCCGCCCCTGAGATAGGTATTATCTACAATCTTATCGCACAAGATTTTTATACTAAATTTGCAGTGTCATCGAGTCCAAAACATTGAATAAAGATAAACTTCCTGTTACAATACGATTGTACTTTCTTGGGCAGTATTCGAGAAATAGTGCAGCCAATCTTAGCTATCCATTCCTTCGAAGCTCCATTTCTCTAATATCTATTGTCAGGATCAAACAATTCTACTACATTGGCAGACAAGGTATAGAAACTTATCTTGACTAAATTTGAGAGGTTGATGCTAGTATAGAGGGAGGCTTTATAGTACTGCTCTCCATGTTGCCTCTTCTAGAAACCACTTACAAGTTTGTACTACTATCTTTCTCGTCAAAGGGGGCGTGGTCGTTTTTCCCACAGTCAGGATGCGCATGGATTCGCCCGTTCCGGGCAACACCAGCGACTGCGCACGCGGTGTACATCCTCGACATAGCACTGGAACACTATTCGATATAACAAGACAATCTTACACCACTTATATTTGAATAATCCTTTGTCTAGGTAAATAGTGTCAAAGTATCTTGTTATATATCCGCTATTATAGAACTTTTTAAAGTAAATATTATCAGACTACTTTTTATCCGCGAAGTATTGAAAGCAATACCGAGATTGTTTCGACTTCTGAATATACTCTCTAGTTGTATATATTCGCTTATTATATATAGAATCAGGTGCGCCTTCTTAGTCAACTTTGATTTGGGTTCGGTGTACTTTATAGGACTGAGAGCTGGGACTATTCAATATAACAGAGTTGGAAGTCTTATACTTGGGACGGTTCCTCTGTGGACCTCTTTTAAAGATATTACAGTACTGTGTGACTGTGTCGGTGCCTGTATCGCGCCGATTCTACTTATCCTCTAGTAAATTCGATATTGGATACGAAACGAGATATTATATTAGATATAACTGGAGAGTATATATATTGTCTTTTAAGGGTGATCTATTCTCTTTCTCTTTCTCAACTGTAGTACTGGACAACTGTGTTTCAATATCCAGGAATATTTACTTTTTATTAAAATTCTTACAAATCTTATATCGCAGAGCTTTTAATAGCTGTGTTTATATATTCTTGATCTCCTTTTCTAGTCGCTGAATACAGGGAAGTAGGCCAGGCTTCTTAGTCTTCTTATACTGGGTACACGCGTTGCTGAGCTTACAATAGATCTCTTTTAACTCTGGATAATTCTCAATCTGTGCTCTCTACTGGTTGATTAGATACTGTAGATACCGAGTGTCTTACTAATAGCTTTGTTGTAAGACAGCCTGTATCAGTTCCATATCTAGGTCGAGGCTACAGATAATCTGGATTATATCTGTATTAACTCTCAAAGAATAATAATATTTAAGAAAGGTCCGAGTACTAGTATACTTTATAATCAATATATATTGTTTCTTACTAACTTACCCTACTAATAATATCAGAGATCACTGAAACCTTAGAATAGATAGAGTTACTTATTACTCTTATTAATTATTTTGTTACTACTATACTAGAATTGATATATATAAAATATATCTAGCTATCTATAAATTTCCCCAAATATAATCAGGAGTCTTGATATTATTGTGTTTATTATAGATTGTTTCTATAGAGTAGTCAGAATACTATTAATTAACTCGGTCTTACAAAAGATATATTAATCGGTTTTTTTAGAATCTAAGGGTATTATAAGTTACTTATACTGTTTTTTTATAAAAAGTATATACAGCTAAGTCTTCGATATCAATCCGTTCCGAAATACCCTGGTATAAAATAGGATCCCGAATAGTAGTATATATAGATACAGTACTAATAACAGTCTGTAGACCACTTCGAGAAGAGAAAAAATTGTTCTATTTTTATTAGAGATAATCAGTATAATCAGCTTTAACTTCTTAAGAAAGTATATCTAGAGAGATATAGTATTTTAGTAATACCAGGAAAGAGACTAAAACAAAAATAGTCTTATTATAATTTTATTAATTCAAGAAACTTTTTTGTTCCCTGGAATATTAATTTAATATTAGGAATCAAGAATCTACTGTAAGAATTTTTCTAAAGAGAGATCTATAGATCTTTAAACTGCAGAGACAATAATATATTCTGTTAGTAAATAGTAAATAGAGCTAGAAAGTTGAATAGATATATTTAAATATACTACAAGCCTAAATAGAATTTCTTTTTCTGGATAGCCAGAATTATCTTGTTTAACAGAGCAATATTTTTAATATAAACCGGTGTCTTCTTGCCAGACTGAGTATCTAATCTATTCTCGAAAATCAGATACTTGATATCCTGCTAATAAAAATATTAGATAGACTATTTTATAGACAGATTAGGAAAACAAAATTCTTTAACTAATTATTAATATTTCTTTACTGTTCTGGTTATTAATTTGAGTCTTTATAAGTCTTTGGTAGTAAAGACAAAGATTTTTCCAGTCTATTATTAACAAGCTAGTCTTATAGATCTGTTTTAATTTTTGGCTGTTTTTCTCTCGGTCAAGTTTGAGAGTCTACTCTAAGAATCGATATTTATTATTATTTGATAACTGATACAGGACTTCCTCCGGTTTCTGTTATTTAAATTTATTAGACTCTAGTTTTAATTTAATAATACAGAATCTTTAAATACTGTTAAATCGGTATAACTAACCGGGAATAAGAATAGAATTATACTATTTCCAGTAGTATTTAATCTGCTTATATCCTTGTATAGTATCTTTTGTCTTATCAAAATTCTTAGAGATTCTAGAGAGATCTATACCAGTATTATCAAGGAAATTATTATAGAGATTCCCTAGACTATCTTCCGCTGCTATTTATTAAGTATAATAGTATTTATCTACTCTGTACTGTTTTTTTGCTGGTAGGGGAGAGCTATACTTGGTAAGATCTGTTTCAACAGTGGTATTTAAATAATTATCCGATTTACTACTACTCGCTACGCTGTTACTGATATAATTGCTCTTGTTATAAACTTGATTATATTAAAAATAACGGCGCTTTATTCTTTACCTGTATTAATACAAGGCGGTTAATGGCTACCGCCGACAGTGTATACAAGGAAGATAATATCTGATTATAGTATAATCAAGAAATAGAGCAGGGAGACCCAGAGTATAATAGAATATATAGAATATATAACAGAGGAATATATAGATAATACAGTAGAGTAATAGATAAATAGATTTCAAGAGTAAATAAAAAAAGTACAAGATATATAAGAGATACTGAAAATATTATAGCTTTCCCGAGACTTGAGCAGAATTAATAGAATATTATAAGATCTATATTAGTGTCTTGGAAGGTAACAGCCGGAGATATAATAATTAATATTAGTATGGGCCTCTTTGAAACAATTATAAAGAGATACAATCGGCCTCGGTAGAGCCGCTTACCAGGTGTTCGTGGTATATAGTAATAACAAAGCGGCGCTGTGGTGGCAATCAACGGTTATGTGTTACCAAATGAGGGCCGAAAATGGCAGCAAAGGTAGCCGAAAACGGCAGACAATTGGTAAACCGAAATTTTATTATAGTAGTATTAAAAAATATACTATATATATAGCCAGTATTTATTATAAACTAGCAGTTAATAGTATAAGTTTAAATCCAGTATAAATAAATAAATTACTTATATATTACTATAGATATACAATAAAACTAGCTAATTTTTATTTTAATCTAAGTTTTTAACTATATTCAGAGCCTTATCAGAAAAAATAAAAAAAAATATATTAATTAATTCTATTTTATTAGTATTTAAACTTAATATAATAGTATTTTAAAAATATATCTTACTATAATAGAATCTAAAATAACTTCTCTAAATCGCTTAAGTAATATTATTATAGATATAGAAATTAATTTAAAAATCTATCTACTTAACTATTCTTATAAATAGAAATAGACTTAATTTAAACTTAATTTAAAA